TGGCTCTTCATGTGGCTGAATGGCCCTCTCTTCCTGGAGTAACAGTCTTGCAAGCTCACCAGGCACTTCGCAATCATCTTCACCTTCGTCTTCGGCTAAGTTGATCGGATTTTCGAAGTCATAACTGGCAGTAGCAGAGTCGTTACCAATGAGATTCATAGTGGATTGGAACCTGTATGAGTGAGTGTGTGTAAATATAGCTGTTTTGCAATATATAAAGAAAGAAAAGGAGCGCAAGATTTGAAATGTGAAAAACGTCCAATGCTTTTATTCATGATATATGAAAGTGACAAATAACAAGCCCTCACAAATGAAGCCACGGTGCCCCGGGTAAGACACCGGGCCATAAAGTTTAGTAATATTGTTTGTTAGAACTTTAAAACAAAGGAATTCATTACTGAGTGACAAAAGTAACAGGTATGGAGTCTTTGGCAGTCCAGTTGCTTGATCCACCATTGGTTGTTGGGTAGATCCAGCTGTCAAATTCAGATTCCTCCACTTCGTCATCATCCCCAATAGCATTTACTCCATGGTTGGGCATGGGAGATGTCACCACATTAGGCCTCTCGGGCGCTTTGAACTGTACCTCTTTAGCATCAATAAGGTCCTGAACCTTATTCCTTAGAGCCCAACAATCATCAGTAGAATGCCCCGGGCTATCAGAGTGATAAGCGCAGCGGGCGTTGGGGTTGTACTTTTGAGAGGTTGTATTTACAACCTTCGGAGCTTCCTTGATAGTTACCAGATTGGTTGACAGCAATTGCGGAAAAATCTGAGACAGGGTCATGCTGAGCCGAGTATACTGTCTTTTGGGCCTCTCAACTCTTGGTTGGTTGTATTGCTGAGGAGCAGCAGCAGGCTTCGAAATTACCACCGCGTTGACAGCTTGGCGGAGTTCCGGTTTGTTTTGTCTTCTGGGACCATAAACCGCACTAGCTTCCTTCTTGAAGGGCTTCTTTTCAGAGCTCGAGGAGGCACCCTTTTGTATCTTTCCCGACTTGATGCCAGCTTCGATCCTCTCACCTGTCAGGATCAGGTCTGTAAACCCGGCAGAGGAATTACCAATCAGGTGATTAAAGAATGGACCAGACAGGGTCCCCAAGAACATGTCCACGAGTTCACGATCAGTCAATGGTGGCTGCACCCTGCCAGCCAGGTCTCTCCACTTCTGCGCGTACTCCTTAAAACCTTCACCCGTTCCCAGTGACATACCCTGGAGTTGGGTACGCGTGGGAGCAAGGTCGGAATTGTACTGATACTGCTTATAAAAAGCAGTAGCCAAGTCCTCCCAGTTACGAATGTTGGTTCCATCCAGCTGATAGAACCATTCAAGATGAGTCCCTGAAAGACTCTCCTGGAAGAAATGGATCCATAAGTTCTTGTCTGCAGTGTAAGGTTGGATCTTCCTTACATAAGAGCGGAGGTGCAGTTTAGGACAGGAAGCCCCTTCGTACTTCACAAAGGCAGGCGCCTTGAACTTGTGTGGAATCACCACCCCAGAAGATAACCCTAAGTCTCCAAAATCCAACCCAGGCACACGTTGAATCTCCATAGCATTTAACCGGTCCTCCAGCTGTTTGTACCTGTCCTCAGCAGGAGGGTACTGTTCATCATTGAAGTCTGTCTCGGTGTCAGAGACCACGGGACTAGGGACCCCTCCCTCCTGGTGACTGCCTTCCCCAACAGATGGAGTAGTCAGCTCAGCTTCATTCTGCAGTGTATTCCCGAGTCTGCGTCCAGTGTTGAACAGCACAGTCTTCTTCTTCTTCTTCTTCTTCAGGAGCAAATCCTTCAACTCCTGTTTTCCTTTGGCTAAGCTCATGACCAGCTCTTGAAACTGGGCGTTCTGGGCCTGGAGGGCCTTGATAGCTTGCTAGGTAGTAGGTTCAGGATTCATGATGATTGAGTGCTGAAATAAACAGCGAAGAAGATTAAGCAACCTGTAGAAAAAGGGTACCTGTTATGCACATGATGCATGATATGCTATTTATGCAATGCATTCAAGGGTTCAAAAGTTCAAGTTCGTTGTAGACAAAAAGGAAACACACGTTGTATTAGGAAATAATCTGTTCAGTACATCAGGGCCTCATGGGTAAAACAATACAAAACTTAATCCCAAAAGACACTGCGCATCCTCTTTGGAGCGATGTAGGTGTTGAGAGTCTTTTCCTCGTGCAGTAGGAGGGTGAGCTCCATAACCTTCTTCTCACTGGCATGTAGACTGGTTTCAAGAGAATTTCGTTCTTCCTTAAGTTGGATCCAGCTTTTCTGCATTTCTTCCCAAGATGTTGGCATGCCAGGATTTTGAATGGTATAGGGCAACTCTCCTTCCACAACAGGTTTGTGATACGGTGGGAGAACTGACTGTGGTTTTGCATTCGTATTCGCACTTGTGCGGTTGAGCAAGAGTCGCCACCGACTTTTTATTTTATCCTAAAGGAAAGGTTAAAAAAGCACAGCAAAAACCTTTTGAGATGTTTCGTGGGTTCGGGGGGTAGATTATGAAAAGGGAAGGTATTAGCACCCTTTTCATCCATGGTTATCCATGGGCTCTTAGTTACTTGGTTTTTTAGATCACTTGCCTTGATTTTCGATTGCTTTGAAATTTTGGTGTGGGTGTGTGTTTTGAAAATGTTTTTGAAGAGATGCCTTGTTTTAGGCAACCAATGTATTTGACTCATGTTTGAGTGTTTTACAAAAGTGTGTATCTTTTTGAAAAGATGTTTCAAATGTTTTTGAGAGTTTGTTTGAAAGTGTTGTGGATTGTGTTTTTTGAAAAGAAGGCAAGTGTTTTTTTCAAGTTGATCTCAAGTAACTAAGAGTTTTGTCTACCCTATTGTACTCAAAGGTTTTCTCTATGTTTTCAACCCCTTTTAACAATTTTGTTCCACCATTGAATTTGGTGGACAATCTTGCGTTTAGGAAGTTTGTTCGGGACGGGCACGGGTCATCGTATGGATCATGAATGCAATGGTGCCAAGTGTCTTTGGCAATTTTCTTTGAAGGGACTTGATCATTTGTTTAGGCAACATTTTTAAAGTGTTATCGAGGGACTATGATCATTTTGAATTCGTTTTGCCAAAGAAACTCGATGTGCAAGCATGGCCCATTTTGGAAGGCAACATGTGGGATTACCCTAGAGGGTGCAAGTGTGATTGTGTATTGATTTCATGTATTTGTCTTGTATTAGGTTATCTAGCGTTTGATATTATGTACATGCAAACCCTAGGTCTAACCATGGTATAATTGAAAGCGGTAAATTGCGAAAATGTAAAATCTACGCTATTACAAAATAAGTATCCGGGAGTGGGGGTACAATGTTCACAAATGGGGATGAGACTTATAGTATCCAATAAGTTACAACCAAATTGAATTTGCGATCAAATGTAAATGACAAATATCAATGTATAAGATAAACAAGTGTGTATATGAGCAATGTGAATGTATTTGTATTGTGTAAGTGTGAGATGTATTGTGTAAGTATGTGATTATTTACAGGCGCGACAATGTGAATTTTGAACATGTATTAAGTATTGTTTTAATTAGTCTTGTATTTTGTATTTAGATATGTATGAAAAGAAAGTTTTAATGAAAAGAAAATGTTTTCAATTATGTATCAAAATGTATTTGTTTATTATATACAACAAGTAAAAATAAAAAATCAAGGATTAAATTATGTATAAAAAGGATGTTTTAAGAAAAGAAAATATTTCTAAGTTTTAATTATGTATACAAAAAAGTATTTTTCATTTGTTATGTACAAAAAGTGTTTTAATTAAAAGAATAAAAGAGGCATTTTCAATTTTAATTATATGATGTAGAAAATGTATTTTATTATTAAAGTATTATTGTAAAATATATTAAGTTAGGAAAAATATATTGGTTTTTAAAAGAAAAGTTAGTATTAATTTATTAATGAAATAAATTTGTTTTTATATAAAAAAGGTAAGTTAAAAATTTGTTTTATAATAAAAAATATTAAGGCTTTTGAATGGGAATTCATTGGGCTTCAGGCGTTGGGAAAAAAAGGTTAGGCCCAGAGTTGAAACAAGTGTTTAGGGTTAGCTTGTGTTTTCGTTTGGGACAAAGCTTTAGGGTTTGTGTACAGCGGCGCTCATGGAGGTCTTCTTCGCGTTGTCTTCGTCTTCTTGCTTCTTTGCCATGGCTACTGAACAACGTCTCCTTGCCTGAGCCACCACGCTACCACCATCTCCTCTTCCTCTTTGGTCCAACGAGGCTGTTAGGTGACATCTCTTTTTCAACGTATTTTAGGTTTTTAATAATTTGTCTTGCATGTTTAATTCGATTTCGATTAAGATTTCGTTATTGATTCTGACCATTTGTGTCCTTTTTGTTCGAGGTGTGAAGAGAAAGAGTTACCTTCGTTGAGGGAGATGGTTAGGAGGCGTTTAGAGGGCTCGGCGGCGGAGAGGACGCGATCGTGAAGCTAGCTTACTGGTACCCTTTACTTTGTTACCATCTTTAAGGTTTCGTGATGATGACTTGACTGAAAACCTTATTTTTGAATTCGCCTCTTTCTTCTTCTTCTTTACCACTGTATGCTTGTTGCTTCTTTGATGCTCACTTCTGTCGCCTCTGAGTTTGGTGTGCTTTTGACTATTTGTTGCCTTGGTACTTGTTGCTTTTGGAATGTTGGACTAAGGTGATGCTTGATGCCCTATGATGATGCAAATCTGAGGGCTCGTGGGATTTGATTTTGAATGCTTCTTTTCCTCTTCTCTTACAGTTGCCTTGAGTGTTTGTCGTATGCTTGCTTAAGTCGCTTATTCTGATTGCCCGATGATGTTTTTCCTGAGGGCCTGCCTTGAATATACTTCTCGTTCTCTTCTCCCTTTGCCCTGAATGTTTGCCCTTAATGCATGAGGCTTGAAGGCTTCAAACAGGTTTTTGGCCTATGTTGAGTTGGTTGGCTTGAGTGTGATAATAGGCAGGTAATTTGTGTTGAAACTGGCTTTTAGTTTGATGTATTAGGCTTAAAGATGGGCAGGCCTTTTGGTGAGTTTCTTCTGCAGGTTAATGGCATTTTAGGGTTAAGGCTTCAGCAGGTTGTTACTTAGGCAGGTTGGATGTTTGTGTTTTGGTGAGAAAACAGGTTATGCTTCTTCTTGACAGTGTTTATACTGGTATGGCTTTGTTAGGCTTCTGGTTGTTATGGTTTGGAAATTAGTATTTGGTTTTTTGTTTGTGCATATGCAGGTCTGAGGCTTTTGAGGCTGAGGCAGGTTTTGTGTATGCAGTTTATGGTTTAACTGGAATATGTAGGTTTGGGCTTCAGCATGTTATGCTTGTAGGTTTGGTGTATGCAGTTTATGCTGTTTAAACTTGATGGTTGGTTTGCAAATAGTGCTTGCAGACCTGAGCTTTTAGCAGGTTCTGAGTTTTGAAGTGTTTTCTTTGGTTATGAGGTTTATGCAGTGGGAGTTTGTATATTTTTCTTTGTGTTGGTTTGCTCTCTTGTATCTCTTTCTATCTATGCCTCCTGCCTAAAGCCTAAAAACCTGCATTCTTTTATCTCTCTCTCTTCTTTCTCAGTACAGTTGGATATGTTAAAATATGTTTTTATGCTGTACTTTCTGAAAGGGCCATTGGGAAATGATGAAAAGTGAACATAGCTTGCTTGCATATCTTATCTTTTCTTGACAGCTTTGAGTAGACTTTGTACTTTTTGAACTTTTCCATATCTTTGCCAAATCTTCTTTTGACAGTTTGGGTACCTTTGGCATTTGACAGAAAGTTGCAACTTGATTTTTTCAGTTTGATTTGAACTTGCTTCTGAACTATGCAGTTTGACATTTTATGCATTTTGACACTTTGCATTTTTTCTCAACTTTGCATTCATGATTAAATAAAATTCTTCCCTCTTTGTGAACCAGGAGAAATCCCGTGATTTGCAGAGAGGGTTAACTGATCCCAATCAGTGACCCTTAATGATGAATTTCTTCTGTCGTTTATTATTTTATCTGCTTTTTGACTTTTCTCCTTTTCTTTTGCAGATGAATAAAAATGGATGGAGGGGTACTAAATGAAGACTGAAGAATTAGAAAAAATAGGATAGTTTTCTTCTTTATTTAATATTTAAATTAATGTAAAACCATTGTTTGTAATTAAATTATAAACAATAATTGTACAAATAATTCAAGAATCAATAAAAGTCTTTATTATCCAATCAATTCTATTTCCTCTTTCTTTATTGTTTATCTATTATTTAAAACTCTTTGAATTAAAATAATTGAAAAATAAATTTCAATCACTTAATTTAGAATAATGAATAATTTAAATAAACAATACTTTAGCACATTGATCAGTTAAACCTGGTATCTCCAAAGCGAATCAATAGTTAATCAAAACACTGATCAGGAGCGTTCTCTCTTTTCACTGATTTTCAACAAACACTGTAATTCCAAACTGCGCATGTCTTTTGACTGGTGAATTCAAACCAACTGCCTCCTTTTACTGATTAAATCAAAAACAATGCGAATTCAACCCGAATCTCGGAATATCTTGCAAAGTGCTGTGGAATTTTAACCTTCTGAGAATATGCCCACAAAAACCTTAATTCCTGATTAAATGCCAAAGAACGTTCACCTGATCAAAATCGAGTCAAAATCAACCAAAACCCTAAGCCAACTGTGTGAAACAATCCAGAGCCCTGAAAGATCAATAAACCCTAATTGCGTCTGACTGACGAGAAAAGTCCGTTTGACCGATTCTTGAGCCAATCTGAAAAATCAGGAAATGCCTGAAGCTGAGATTTCTTGTGGAAAAATGCGAGGGCAAATTTTGGGGTACAACAGTTGCCCCTGTTCAATCTTCTTGGACCTGAAGAGTTAGATTGGCAAGTTTGCCTTTCGCGACTTGAAGGTAAAAGAAGATTGGACACTAAAGTGCCCAGAAAATTTGCACTCGGCGATGTGATGGTAGAGGTGAATGGGCTTACAGATGCCATTTGGTGATGGGCTTAAAGATGCCATTTGGTGATGGGCTTAAAGATGCCATTTGGTGTGATAGAATCTTGTCGGGGAATGGGCTTAGAGATGCCATCTGATAATGGGATTAAAGATGCCATTTGGTGATGGGATTAAAGATGCCATTTGGTGATGGGCTTAAAGATGCCATCTGGTGGCTGCTGGTAGGAGGACGGGCTTATAGATGCCATCTGGTTATGTTGAACTGTATGTTAATGGTGAGTGGACAAGTATCAGAAAGCCACCCATGTTTTGGAACATCTCTAAATCGGGGGTCTGAGCAAGCAATAGATTGACATCCACGTTTCGGAGAATCCGTAAACTATTTTCAGGAGTCGAGATTGAATAAGCAATAGAGCAGCATCCGTTGTTGGGAAGCGTCCGTAAACTGTTTTCAAAAGTTGAGAAGAGTCTGAACAAGTTGGTAGATTAACATCCGTCGTTGGGAAGAATCCGTAAACTGTTTTCAGAAGTCTTGAGAAGAATCTGAACAAGTGATAGGTTAACATCCGTTACTTGGAGAACCCGTGAACTGTTTTCAGAAATCTTAAAGTTGAATAAGCAATAGAGCAGCACCCGTTGTTGGGACGCGTCCGTAAACTGTTTTCAAAAGTTGAGAAGAGTCTGAACAAGTTGGTAGATTAACATCCGTCGTTGGGAAGAATCCGTAAACTGTTTTCAGAAGTCTTGAGAAGAATCTAAACAAGTGATAGGTTAACATCCGTTACTTGGAGAACCCGTGAACTGTTTTCAGAAATCTTAAAGTTGAATAAGCAATAGAGCAACATCTGTTGTTGGGACGCGTCCGTAAACTGTTTTCAAAAGTTGAGAAGAGTCTGAACAAGTTGGTAGATTAACATCCGTCGTTGGGAAGAATCCGTAAACTGTTTTCAGAAGTCTTGAAGAGGAACCGGTGTAGGGTTTCCTAATGATGAGCTCGTGTAAAACTGCATCTGGATGAATCTGGAATAAGTATCAGAATGTCGCCGTGTCCGGGTCACATCTGAGTAAACTTGGAGGATGATCTTTGTCTGCCGACTGATCTTTCCTGAAAAGGTAAAAGGTTAATCGTATGCAATGTCATGATGCATGATGCAATGTATGTGACATCAATGTTTATGATATGAATGGGATGAATGCGCATGTAAGCTGATGAGCTAATGCTGAGGATAAATGAATCCTGATAGCTGAAGATAAAAGAATCTTGATTGCTGCCGGGGAAAATAAATCCTTGGCTGCTGCTGTGGAGGGCAAGAGTCTTCAATTGTTGAAAATGAGAGGTCTTGGGACCACTGTTGGGAGAATCAGAAGCTTGGGTTGTATGCCAAACTACTGGGGTCTTCCTGTTTTGAGGAGATCTGTGTAGGATTTCCTGACGATGAGTCCGTGTAAAACTGCATCGGGTTTTTGAACACTTTTGACATTCGAATGCCCCAAGTGGTGATGTAGATAAATTCCTGGCTTGTTACAGGTGTTGGTCTACAATCGGTCGTCCACAGATGTTTTCCTGGCTTGTTACAGGTGTTGATCTGGAATTCTTCAGACGTGCCCTGGCTGGATACAGGAATCGAATCTGGAAAGGTGATAGTTAACAGATAAGCCCTGGCTGGATACAGGAATTGAATCTTCAAACTCTTCAGACGTGCCCTGGCTAAATACAGGAATCGAGTCTGGAAATGTAATAGTTAACAGATATGCCCTAGCTGGATACAGGAATCGAGTCTGGAAATGTGGTCAACAGATATGCCCTGGCTGGATACAGGAATCGAATCTGGAAATGTTGTAGTTGATAGATGTGCCCTGGCTGGATACAGGAATCGAATCTTCGAACTCTTCAGACGTCCCCTGGCTAGATACAGGAATCGAGTCTGGAAATGTGGTCAACAAATATGCCCTGGCTGGATACAGGAGTCGAATCTGGAATTGTGACAGTTGATAGATATGCCCTGGCTGGATACAGGAATCGAATCTTCAAACTCTTCAGACGTGCCCTGGCTAGATACAGGAATCGAGTCTGGAAATGTGATAGTTGATTTGTTGAACACTTTTGACATTCGAATGCCCCAAGTGGTGGAGAAGGAGTCTTGAATCAAATTACTCTGCATATTGAGAGATTTTTTTTGAAATCTTGAACGGACTGCCCCAGTTTAACTGAACTTTGAAAGATCTGTTGGACCTTGACTGGACTGCCCCAGGTTAATTGAATAGTGACATGGCATGCCCCTTGTTGATAGGAGATTTGCAATGGAAGCGTTATCCTCTTGAAGTGATTTTCACTTACTGAGAGAGTTTTCGTTCCTCCGAACATTCGCTGTATGAATTTCTTCGCTGTCAAACAAAAAGGTCAAATGCAGACAGTGATATTCGAATAATGCAAAGTTTATGTTTGTCTCAAAATTTTGAAAAATGCGTTTTTAGCAGAAAACTTTTCATAAGACAAGTTAACACAAGATTTAGAGCAAAGCCCTACAGGAGTCAGGATACCTTTTGTGACAGTATGCTTTCGAACTAACCCATGCTTCAATTAGGACTTTTAAAGGGTTATAACGTGGCCTGGTTCACGGTTTAAGAAACAAAGGATAAAGGCTCAAAGTATATTTGTACCCACCCGCTCTTCGTGATGTTCTCCAACCTAAGCTCAGTTGATTGTGCGTCACACTCTGTTTTGAGTTTGGAACGATTTTTGGGCGATGGTTCACCAGTTGAATTCGGGGAGACAGTCATTATCTCCTTTTTTTCTTTTTCAACATTTTTTCATGTTGTCGAGGATTTTGTAATGACCTCACTATTTTGATTTTGATTTGTTATCCCTAACTTTTGCCTGACTGTCACCGTTTTCCGGGATTACCGTCAGCGGGATGCCCCAGCTTTCTTAAGCCTCCTTTATAGGTTTTGGCTCAGTGGGCTTTTTCTTTTTTTGAGAGATTGACTGTCTATGTGATAGGGAACCCCCCTTGTCTTTTGATTCTAAAGGAATGCTTTCTTTTTTTGACATCGTTCATTGTATTATGAACTGAGAGTTTGCGACTTCAATGCGCATTTTCTTTTGAATTAACTGAGAGACTACCCTACCCCAGGTTTATATCAAAGGTTTCGATTGTTTAGAACAAAAAACTCCTACTTCTTTGGCTCGAAGGGGTTGACTAGGGATTAACTTCCTTATAACTCCAGTGTTTGGGAATTGAAAGAAATGCCTGTACATCATCAGCAAGGTCCGTTCAAAAGCATACTGTATGAGATCATGGTATTGTTTCGTCATCCTCCCTCTAAAGGCTTGCAGCTTTTTATCAAGAGTCAAATATCATACAGAAAAGCATGAGAGTAGTGAAACGAATGGATGAATTCAAGACAAACACATGCAATGCATTAATGAAAACAGAGTTTAACATCAACAGATAATTGTTTGACAGAAAAAGAAA